CTGGGGAGGGGGAAGGGGAGAGGGGCGGGGGGCGTGGAGGGATATGGGTAAGTATAAGGTACATATAAGAGTGGGTGTATATATATATATACGTTATATATATATACATATATATATATATATATATATATAATATATATATATATATATATATATATATATATATATATATATATATATATTTTTTTTTTTTTTTTTTTTTTTTTAGAGGGTATATTCCTGTGTATATTTACAAGTGGGCCCTGGTAGATAAATTATATATATAAAATGTACTTTCTTGGAGATGCAATTACACAGACAAACACACACACGCACACACACTCATACACACACACATAAATCACATACGGTCTGGATACACACATACGTATACACATCACAAATACATTTAGGAGGATATATAGCATATATATACAAAATACACATCACACACGCACCTCATACGATCCGTAAGGACACAAGCCTCCATATCCAAACACACAGAGCACATAGTCATATATACACGAGGAGGCTCGACTTACACACCCTACAACATGTATATATATATTCTTTGATACTCCAGTTACCATTATCCCAGAAAACAGCTCACAGATGCACTTCCTACAACACTACAGGGTTGGTAAAGCCTCTATAAACCAGGTCGTATCAGGTTATAATCTGGATTACAACCCCGTCATAAAATCCTCTACCGCTTTGTGCAAGTGTGACATTTACATATCAAAATGAGGAATTCCATCACGGGCGATAACGTAACCCGTTTCTAGATAACGCTGGGAAGTGTATGCCGGATATTACCTTTCCTGGAAATATTTATACCTCATGTTACCTTTTCTAAAATCATATATACATAAACAAAGGGAAGATTTAATATAGATTGTGAATACAAAGTAAAGATAACTGATTACGAATGAAAAAGAAAAATAAAAAAAAAATATATAAACACCAGACTTTATAAAATATATATATATATATATATATATATATATAATATATATATATATATATATATATATATATATATATATATATATATATATATATATATATATATATATATATAAAATGGTAATTAAAATATACAAACATATATCATTAAAAAAGCAGCGTAACTGGCGGACTTCTTAAAGTATGACTTACTTTTCTTCGTTAGTTAGAACGAGAGAGAGAGAGAGAGAGAGAGAGAGAGAGAGAGAGAGAGAGAGAGAGAGAGAGAGAGAGAGAAGAGAGAGAGAGAGAGAGAGAGAGAGAGAGAGAGAGAGGGTGAGAGGTGAGGGAGAGGAAGAAAAGAGAAAGAAAGAGAGAGGAAGAGAGAAGAGAGAGAAAGAGAGAGAGAGAGAAGAGAGAAAGAGAGAAGAGAGAGAGAGAGAGAGAGAGAAGAGAGAGAGAGAGAGAGAGAGAGAGAGAGAGAGAGAGAGAGAGAGAGAGAGAGAGAAGAGAGAGAAGAGCAAGAGAGAGAGACCAGAGAGACGAAGAGAGAGAGAGAGAGAAGAGAAGAGAGAGAGAGAGAGAGAGAGAGAGAGAGAGAGAGAGAGAGAGAGAGAGAGAGAAGAGAGAAGAGAGAGAAGAGAGAGAGAGAGAGAGAGAGAGAGAGAAGAGAAGAGATTAGAGAGAAAGAGAGAAGAGGGAGGGGAGGGCACTGCAAATATTACAACAGAGCCGAAATATTCATGACACTGAAACATGACAATCATACATGATTCATGAAAGCAAACATACAGAAAAGAATAACCAGAAAATGCGATGAAATAGAAAAAAGGGTAAAGGGAATAATAGAGAAAAATCTCCAAACAAAACAGAAAAAGAAAAAGAAAAAATAGATCATGAAAAAGAAAAGTAAAAAAAGGAAAAAAAACAAATGTAAGAATGACGAAAAAGAAAGAAAAAGAGGAAGAAATAAGCAAATAAAAGAACGTGTAAGAGAAAGAAAGAATAAATCTCTCAATAAAACAGAAAAAAAACGAAAAAATAGATAATGAAAAAGAAAGTAAAAAAAAAAAAAGAAAAGAAAAAACAAATGTAAGAATGAACTAAAAAAGAAAGAGAGGAAGAAATAAGCAAATAAAAGAACGTGTAAAAGAAAATAAGAATAAAATATATCTCAATAAAACAAAAAAAAAAAAACGAAAAAAATAGATCATGAAAAAAAAGCCGAAAAAAAAAAAAAAAAAGAAAAAAAAAAGAAAAAATGTAAGAAAACGAAAAAAAAAAAACGAAGTAAAGAGAGGAAGAAATAAATAGATAAAAAAGGTAACAAAGAAAGGAAAAATATGAAAAAAGAAAAAAAAAGAAAAAACAAGAAAAAACAAACATAAGAATAAACGAAAAAAAAATTAAAGAAAGAGAAGAAGAAATAACCAAACAAAAGAAGGTAAAAAAAACAAAACAAAAAAACAACAACAACATCAGCGTAAACTAAGCAACAAACGTACTCCTTCCAAGTCTCTCCTTATTACTACGAAGCTCAAAAGTTTTACACTTGATTACTTTTCGGAAAGATGAATGAAGTGTTCAATATTTTCCTCCGTGTTGGCGCAGTGTAGGCCTAGCGACGACTGGCTGGCTGGCGAGACTCTGGAAATCTAATCTACTTTTGTTGGAATTTTTTTCTCAAGGTTCTCTGTCTCGCTTTCTTACCGAGGCCTCCAATTTTTTTTTTCTCGTTTTTTTTTTTCTTTTTGTCTCTTTCTTCGATTCTGGGGTTTTTTGTCTGTCTGGATGTTGTCTCTTTTTTTTTTTTCTTTCTCTCTCTTGCTTCTTTTTCTTTTCTTTCTTTCTCTCTCTCTATCTTTCTCTCTCTCCTGTCTCCTCTCTCTCTAGCTCTCTGTCTGTTCTCTCTCTCTATCTTTCTTTCTCTTCTCTCACTCGTTCTTGTTCTCTGTTCTGTCTGTCTGTCTATCCGTCTGATTTTTTCTTCCTTCTAACCACTCTCTCTCCTTTAACAGCTCTCCGCTCTTCCCTCCCCCCTATTCTCTCTCACATTTTCCTCTTTTCTTTATCCTTCTTTTCTCTCCCCTCCACTTATTCCCCTCGTTCTCCTTCCTCTCTTTCCCTCTTTCATTCTCTCCTCGCTTCGCCGTGCTCTTCCTTATCCTACTTTTCCATCTTCTCTCTCTCTCTCTCTGTGTGTGTGTCCTTCTCTCTCCTTCTCCTCTTCTTTTCCTTTCTCCTCTCCTTTTCCTTCTCCTTCTCCTTTTCTTCTTGCTTCTCCTCCTCCTCCTCCTCCTCACCCCTCCCTCCCCCCCTTTTTCTTCTTCTTCCTCCTCTTTCTGCTCTTCGTCTACTCTCCCTCCTCCTCCTATTCCTTTTCCTCTTCTCCTTCTCCTTATCATCTTCCTCCCCCTACTCCTCCTTTTCCTCTTCATCTCCCTCCTCCTCCTCCCCCCTTCTTCCTCCCTCATTCTTCCTCCTTTTATTCTTCCACCCTCCTTCTCCTTTTATTATTCCCCCTCCTTCTCCTCCTCTTCTCTTCTCCCTCCTCTCACTTCCCTTCTCCTTTTATTCCTCCTTCTCCTTCTCTTCCCCCTCCTCCTCTTCATCTTCCTTCTCCTTTTATTCTTCTTTCTCTTCCATCTTTCTCCTCATTATTCCTCCTCCTTCTCCTCCTCTTCTTCCTCCCCCTCCTCCTCTTTTTCATATTTCTCCTCCTTTTATTCCTCCTCCTCTTCCTTTTACTCCTCCTCCTCCTCCTTTTTTATTCCGCCTCCTCTTCTCTTCTCCCTCTCCTCCTCCTCCTTTATATTCTTCCTCCTCCTCCTCCTCTTCATCTTCTCCCTCCTTTTCCTTCTTCCTCTTCTCCCTCCTCCTTTCTTCCCCTCTCCCTCCTCTCTTCTTCTTTCTCCCTCCTCCTTTTATTCCTTCCTCCCTCTGCTGCTCTTCCTTATTCCTTCTCTTCTCCCTCCTCCCTTCCTACCTCCTCTCCTTTCCTCCTCCTCTCTCCTTTTATTTCCTCCTCCTCCTCCTTCTTCTCCTCCTCCTCCTCCTCCTCTTCCTCCTTCTCCCTCCTCCCTCTCCTCTTCTCCTCCTCCTCCTCCATCTTCTCCCTCCTCCTCTTCCTCTCCTCCTCCTCCTCCTTGAGGCGTGATCCCCCACCCAGACGACACAATTCCGTTCTCCCGAAGAGGCGCCAACAATCATATCTTATCTGTCTTTTATATCCTCTGCGGGAGGCGATCTCTCAAGGTAGTCTCTTTGGCACCCTTTTTGGCACCCTTTTTTGGCACCCTTTTTGGCACCCTTTTTTGGCACCCTTTTTGGCACCTTTGTGGCTCGGCTACGCTCGGGCTCCCTTAGATCCCCCCTCACCCCTCCTCCCTCTCTCTCTCTCTCTCTCTCCCTTGGCTCCTCTTCGGTATATAGTTATGTATTATTATTATTTTTTATTATTTTTTTCTTTCGTTTTTTCTTTTTTTTTCTTTAAATCATTCTTCGCTTTTTTATTTTGTCTAAATAATTCTTCGCTAGACTTGCGTCTCTTTTTTTGTCTTTTCTTATTTCCTTTCTCTAATTTCCTTAATCGTTCTTGCTATAACTTTTTTCTTTGTCTGTTCTTCTCTCTTTCTTTGGTTTCGCTCGTTCTCCTGTTTCTCTTTCTCCTTCTGTATATGCTTGATTGTTTGTCTGCTTATCTGTCTGACTATATGTATGTATGTTTGTGTGTGTGCCTGTCTGTCTGTCCATCTATCTGTCTGCCTTCCTGTCCTTTCGTCTCTCTCTCTCTCTCTCTTTCTCTTTTCTCTCCTCCCCTTCCACCATCCTACCCTCCTTTCTTCCCTCAATCCCTTCTCCTCTTCCCTCTCTTCTCCCTTCCTTCATTCCCTTCTTCCCCTATCCTCCTCTCCTTTTCTTTCTCTTTACCTCTCGCCCTTCGAGTAATTCCGGCAAATGGAGTTTAAAAATCTTTACATTATTCTGTAATTCCATAAAGTCAGATCGTGTGTTCAATAACGATTATTTCTCCCTCTATAAAACACCTTTATGTACGTCACTTCTCCTTTCTTTCG